GGAAGCTTCCAGGCAAGAGCCTGGAAGTTTCCCTGTAGGGAAACAGGTTGGGGCCTGTACAGCATGTAACACTAGGTCAGAGTGTTAGATTTGAGGTATACCTTTTGGGGGAACTGATTACGTCAAGGCAGAAGGGAATGGGGAGGTTATCTCTCTCGTTGGGGCTAATAGGAACTTCATGCTGATAGCGGGTTCAGATCAGCGGAGGCAACGAGAGGAGAAGAAGAGAAGAGGAAACTAAGGGAGAGGAGGAGAGAACAAGGAGGAAGGGGAGGGGTGGAGAGGAATACTCATCAGCATCATCATCATTATCCATCATTTTGTGATCATCTGGCCTAGCTGTAGGCAGGTGCACTTTAGTTCATTATGGAGCCACCAGGCTGTAATGAAGAGCAACCCAGAGCTAAGGGAGGCAGAGCCCAGCATTCAAGGAGCAGAGGGGGCCGGTGGTGATGGCAGCCGAGGCCACTCACCTGGCACCAGAGCTTGAAGGTCTCGCAGCAACCACAGCCAGCCGTTTTCTTCGACACATCTGCAGTGCATCAGCAGCTCCAGGCTCTGTCTCTCACTGGTATACCATCTACACCAGGTTGCAAGGTAGAGCAGCCCAGTACTAAAGGAGGTTGAGTCCAGCGTTTAAGGAGCTAGGAGGGGGTATGAAGAGGTAGAGGAGACTGCTGTGGATGCTGGTGGAGACCACGCAGCTGGCGTCATAAGTAGACTGCTTCTTGGATACATACACATTAACATATACATNGAGGTAGAGGAGACTGCTGTGGATGCTGGTGGAGACCACGCAGCTGGCGTCATAAGTAGACTGCTTCTTGGATACATACACATTAACATATACATACGTATACAGAAAGACACACCGACACAAAGAGGTAGGCAGGCACAGACAGACGGACGGACGCCTCTAGGAGCCCAAAAACCATCCACATCAGCCCTAGACCACCTAAGAGGCAGCATGCTTTTTACTAGACCATTGAAGGAAATATATTTTCCCTGGATATATACATATAACCATTCAAATACGTAGAGAGAGAGAGAGAGAAAGAGAGAGAGAGAGAGAGGGGGGGGGGGGGACAAACACACAAACACACAAACACACAAACACACAAACAGACAGACAGACAGACAGACAGACACAGACAGGCACAGACAGGCACAGAGGCAGGCACAGATAGATGGAGGACGGATGGCCGCACAGACAGACAGAAAGTGTTGCATGCACGGCTCCCGCATGGGCCTCTTAGTGCCTGGCATTAGTCTATCCTTGACCCTGGACCGCCCGCATACAATATCCGATTTCGAAACTGGGAAATTCCGCTAACGCGCCTCGATCGACACCAGAGAGTTCCAGGGCCACGGCTATCTTTTGGCCCTATGGACCCAGGCAGGTGAGTTGAGGGGCATGGAAGTGTGAAATGAGGTTTCTTTTGTTTTCTGAGTATTTTTGTCCGTTTGTTTGTCTTGTCCAGGCTGGATGTGTTTGTACCTCCAGACCGGTAGTGTCGTTCGTACCTCCAGGCCTGATTAAGGCCCAGGGGCTGTTTCTCAGGCCTGGCGCACTCGGGTTGGGGCTGAAACACGTTTTGGTACAGCCCCTGGTTTTCGTTTCTTAGGACACCTCTGGTGATGCGGAAGAGGAGCCTGGATGTCTGTTCGGGACCCAGGCAGGATGTTTTGGGCCACAGCATCAGGAGCAGGCCTGAGCCTGCATCGTGGACCATCGATTGGAGGTCCGATTGGACATCCCAGGATTCAGGCCGAGGCAGCTCCCAGTATGCCAGCGCTATATATAGCTGGGCCAGCCTCCAGTTTATGCATGCAGCATCTCGGCTCTACACAGACATGCTGCTGGATGCAGCGCTAGTAGAGTAGTGGTAGAGTAGAGTAGAGTAGAGAGGTAGGGGTGTTGGAAAGAAGGGGCTAGGGAGGTGCTGCACCAGTGGACACTCACCTGGAGGCTTACCTGAGGACGCGGCAGCCAAAGATCCATCTTCAGGCCTCGGTGGCCACTTCCATCACCACAGCTCAAGGCGACACCTTTCACTGGTCAATATCAGTTATCAGGCTTGGAGAGAGAAGGGGAGAGAGAGAGAGAATATTTTCTTCTTCTTCTTTTTTCTTCTTCTCCTCCTCCTCCTCCTCCTCCTCCTCCTCTCTCATCATACCATCCATATCCACCTCACCTTCTAAGAGAGAGAGAGACAGAGAGAGAGAAAGAGAAGGGGAGGGCATTCAACGATCATTGATGACCGGACGCACCCTTTGTGTGTATGACAATGGATGTCTGTATCTGTCCTGAGTCCTGATGAGTCAGATCTGTGTATTTCAGTATTCTGTTGCACGATGTATCTCTCCATTCCTTTCAGTCCTATCTGCTATTTATAGTTATGCGACAAACACACAGACAAAGGCAGGCATGTACGCAGGCACAGAGAGAGAACAAGGGCAAGAAGAAAGAGAGAGAAGGGCTGGCATCATGAGAGAGTGAGGGAGAGGGGGAGGGGAGAGGAGGGAGGTTATGGCATTTCCTCCTGGGTTCTGCACCATGAAACAGTTTTCACCTTTAGCAGTAGCCGATGCAGATCCCAGGGGGCGATCCCTTGACCTCAGCTTACCTGTGTACAGTATCTGCACAGTTCCCTGGAGTTGAACCCGTGACCTGCACGATAGCCAGTGGTAAGTAGGTC